CAATGAAAGGGCGGTCTCATTGGCTGTCAGCTTGCTACAACGTGACAAAATAATTACCCTGCTTTGAATAAGCATGTGTTTTGTTTAAAAAAAAAATCCCATTATTTCCATGGTAATAAAGTAAAAAGATTTCATACGGGTTTCTCCTATGTCTTTTAAAATTTCTGTTTCTGCTCTGAGTGTTATTTTTATATTCATGGAAGATACTGAAATTGCACTTTAAGGTTTAAAAGAAATGTTAAATAGGAACGATTTCCTGAAAGCGAGGTAAAACTATATTTTGCAGACTGTTTTGAATATAAAATGTTTTTCTAGGAGAAAAGGAGCTATGCAGTGAAGGGAAACACAGTCACTGTTTCTGCACAGAGGTGGGTGGCTCATGAGGAAGGGGCTTGAGTGGCCATCTAGCACTTGTCCTCTTTGTGTTTGGCTTTTCTTCTTTTAGTACCAGGCACTGAAACCAGAACCTTCACACTGAGCTATGTCCTCAGCCTAAAAACGAAAAATATGTATGTTTTTTTCACACAGGGTCTAAAGTCACTAAGTTGCTCAAGCAGGACTTGAACTTGGGATCTTCCCGCCTCAGCTTCCCAAAGTTCTGGAATTACAGGTGTGTGCCGCTGTGTGTGGTAGTTTTCCCTTGTAACCGTGCCATCCAGCAGTGTTTCAGCGTTAGCACCCTGCTCCTCTTCCTTTCTGCTGTTTCTCGTCTTGAATCTGGGAATGACTGGTCTGGGCCGGGAGAGACATGGGCCTGGCTCCTCCCTGGAGACTGAAGTCTGCTTCGCTGTCACTCAGCTGGCTGCCAGGCTCCGCTGTGCTGTGCGCACAGTGGCCGAGGGTCTGACGCACAGGACTTCCGCACCCACCCACGGAGGGGACCCGGCTCTGGGGTGGGTGGAGCTGCAGCTCAGACCCCACCCCCCGGGAAGTGCTCACTGGAGGTCTCCACTACGGTCCGCCTCTCTCCTTCCCAAGAACAGTGGCGGCTGGCTAGGGATTATTCACTGCTGGGCTCTGTAAGGAGAAGGAGCGCCCAGTCTTAATTACATTTTAGTAATCTCTTTTTAATTACTTGCCTCCTCTGCATCCTCTGGAGGAACGGGATGGCTGGTGTCCTATTTAATGAGTTTAAGGATGACGCATTCATGGTCCTTATTATTTGTTACTTCTCTTCCTTTCGATCAATAAACCCCAGATTAAACCTCAGAGGGGTTTGTGAGGCCCAAGCGGCACTTCTCCCGCAGCCGCAGTGCTGCTCAGTTCACCTAGCTCCAGAGTTGGTGGAGATCTTTTGTGGCTCCGAGCAAGGCACCCATTTCTCTGCAGCAAAGGACACAGTGCCCTGGTGGCCTGCAGCTGTTCTGATTGGCAGAAAAACAGGACAAAGAAAATCCCCGTGTACGCTGTGATTGGCTGTGACCAGAAGAGCTGTGATCGCCTGTCCTTCAGCCCACGAATCCCTCACCCAACCTGTCCCCTGGTGAAGGCGCATTCATTCCGTTCACCTCCACTTGGGTTTGTGCTTCTCAGCAAGGGGTCCCCACCCTCCTGGGTCAGCCCAGCTGGCAACAGCATGAGTGTGGGCAGAGGCAGTGCCGGGTGTGGGCTCTGCCTGCAGAGCCATCTCTCAGCACCCGGTGCCGGCCCACCTTGTCGCTTCCTCTCTGAGGTCACCTCAGGCTACAAGAAAAACGCTTCCAGGGTGAAGGAAGGAGACCCGCTGGAGGGATTGGTAGGGTTGAAAGCTGAAGCTGGCCCGCAGCTCCTCCACGCTCAGGTCCTGGGCACCAGAACCAGCCTGCCCTCACCGTGGCCTGGCCACCTCTCCCTGGGTCCCCTGCAGAGGGCTCCTTTTGCCGCAGCACTGACTCCGCTCCTCTAACCGAGTGCGGACCTAGGCACCAGATCTGGTCACTTCCACAACTCCACTGTCCCCCTGGTAGTCCCTCGGCCATGGGACACCAGAGCCTGACACCCACAACACAACCTGTAACTCTTGTGTCCCTCCCTGTGCAGGACTGAGGCCCCAGGAAGGCACAGAACACATCTGTCTGCCCTGAGCCTGGCACGCGGCCTCCAGGAGAGCCAGACAGATGGAGAAAGGGCCTGAGGAGGAGACAACCACCACCCAGCATGCCGGGAACACAGCCTGGCGAGGGTGCTGAAGAAACGGGGGGCAGGACCGGCTGTGAGGTGGGAGGGCACAGACTCAAGAATCGGCGACAGCCACGGATCCAGGGCTTTGGGACACAGGATTGGGGTGGATGAGTAGGAAGGTCAAGTGATCTGTGTTTTGATCTTTCCCAATAATTTCATTTTATTCTGATATAGACGTAAATTACCTTGATATAAAAAAAATGTTTTTAACAAAAGACTCACAGGAGTGCAAAAAAATAAAAAATAAAAAATCCCGGGAACCCAGCAACACACATGATCTGTTCACCCACCCCCCAAGGAGGTGGGTGCAGAAAAGGGTGGCGCAGCGGCTCATACGGCACAGAAGACGTTCGCACGGCTGGGCCTGGGGATCCACGGCTTTTCTTCAAAATCATCAGCATATTCCAAATAGTGTGTGAGGGACACAAGACTTCTACAAATATTAGCTGAAGTCATATGCAATTATCAATATCCAATCGTGAATGATTTGTAAGATGATGATTTCAACCCAACAGAAAAAAAATATTAAAAAATATAAAGGGACTGCTTTCAAGATCAATAAAAAAGATACCTATTCTTTGGCTCCATTGATTTTATTTCTTTGGAAAGAATCCAAAATGTGGATATAGATTTACATATAAAGTGTTCACTGCAGAGTAAATTACGGTGGCAAGGGCTGGGAAAAAACAATCTAAGTGTTTAAAAATAAGGGAGTCAACAAAATGCTTTGTAGACATTGTAACTGATGTTTGGAAAACCTTTAAGTGACATGGTGTAATATAACATTAAGTGAAAAAAGGTAAGAAACCCAATAATGTCGCTCTGAAAAAAACAAAAAACAAAAAACAAAGCAAAGCATCAAAAATAGAAAAAAAACCCAGACACCCGAGGCAATGCAGCCACAGGATGAACAGGGGTCCTAGGCCGACCTGTCCCACCCTCCTCGCTGGGTGCTGGTGCTGGTGCTTCTTGGAGTTGCCTGGCCCCTCCTCGCTGGTGACAATGACTGGACAAGAGCCTAGTGCTTAGTAACTCACTGAGCAGCAGGTGAGGCCTCTCTTACCATCACTGCATGGCCGTGGGGGTTCTGATGACTGCTTTTGTATATTCTGTGCATTTCCCAAACTTTCCGCAATGAATATGCATTTCTTTTAAAATCACCAAAAGTATAACCATTAGAACTACTGAGTCTCACCATAAATAGAGCAAAGCCAAGTCACAGATCAGGCAGAGGTATCTGCAACCCCACGTGGTGACAGAGGACTAGAGTTTCTTTCGCCCCTCACCCCCAGGAATTTGCAAACCAGGAATTCAGCACAAACGTTTGATTTTTACCAACGGCCAGATCCCTAGGGTTGGCAGGGATGGGGAACCTCGAGAGCTTCCCTAACTGCAGGTGGGAGATTGCACTGGTCCACTGCCCTGGGAGCGGGCACAGGCCTGGCACCAGCAGTTCCACTGGAGTTGCCCCCATGTGCTGCTGGTGGCGCCTGTTTGTAAGAGAGGAAACTGAGGACAAAGTACCCATTCAGCCTCCCTGACACTGACGTGCAGTTCGCTCTTTCACAACAATAGGCTCATTTAATAGGGTTTTTATAGCTGCTTCGGTGAATGAACTAAAGCCAATGTACCAAGCAAGAACAACCTAAGTGCAGCAAACATTCAAGGTAACATTTACGTATGTCGCATGTACATAAAGTTTCAAAACATAACAATAGACTATACTCAGGAGTGGCCATCTGAACTATAAGATTGGAGACACAAATCACAGAAGGCAAGAGTCTAGGAGCCTGGAGCAGGAGCCAGATTTCTTGGGTTCAGACTAGATCTGCCACTCGCCCACTATCTAGTGTCTCTGTGCCACTGTCCCGATACATAAAACATTAAAAGCTTGTGCCTCATAGCGCTACCAAAAGAATGAGGTGCCCGGCAGCTGCCCGAGGTAGTACCCCAGGGTGCTTGTTGCTGTTTCGACTATTAATGTCAAAACTTAAGAAGGATCGAGCTATCCGTTTTAGTAGCTTCATTTCCAGGAATTCATGCTGGATAAATGACCAAGCCGTTGTGAACCAGTGTTTATCATACCATTATACATAAAAGCAGGAGCCTGGAAATGCTTAAACACCTTCCCACCGAGTCTGCTGGGACGGAGCTGTTTCAGTGCCTCCGACTTTGTTTTACATGTTTATTCTCCCTTCCCTCCCACAAATGCAGGGGCCGAGGCACCTGAGTGTCCCTGCTCCCTCCGTACAGCATCCTGCCCAGGTTGGTGGCTGGAGGCTCAGGGCGGCTGGTTGCAGCTGGACTACGTGTGGCTGGTGAGGTTGGTCCATTTGTGTGCAAAGACAAATGGCCTGGGACTAAGCGGTGTGCACAGCCAGAGAGGACGGAAGCAAGAAGGGTGGAGAGCACTGTGGCTGGCCACCTCCCTGGATCCCCCGGGGCTACCTCCTCCCACTTCAACCCACGGCCTCCATGTCAACCCCGCCCTGGCACTGCCATCCACGGGGGACCCCGCTGCTCTAAACAGGAACGCATAGTGGGACCTAAGAGTCCTTGAAACCCCGAGCTACCAGGCAAGAAGCAAGTTCCCAATCCTCACTGGATTCAAGTAAAATAAAATAACAATTTAAAAAAAAATCTTTCCAATAAAAGAGGATATACATTCACTTTGCTATATTCGATGTAGAATTCGTATCAATTTTTCATTTCCAACAAGCTAATCACGTGAGGTGATTGCCAACTTATCTGATGTTCTTTTAATCCACTACCCATTTTGTAAAAACTAATTTTAGCTTCTCCCTTCACAAAGAGATGCGTAAGTGCTACAGACGCCTCACCTCCTCTAGGAAACAGCCGAAGTTCTCGAGAAAATACTTCCAGTGTATGTAGGGTGTTAGATGAATTCTTAGTTTCCTCAAAAAATAATGGTACTGGCTGTCTGTTAGGTTGTAGCACAAGTCCTTAAGCACTTGTCCGAAATCTGTAGCCTTTATAAACCCTGTGTCCTCTTTGTCCAATGCAGAAAATGTCTCAAAAAAAAAAAAAAAAAAAAAAATAAAAAAAAAAAAAAAAAAAAAAAAAAATTAAAGAAAAAGATGGCAAATGCTATGCTCAAGGGAATATTTCAAAACTATTTTCAGCATCTCTTCTGCAGAATGTGAATGGAATTTAGTGTATGTGACTAGTGCAGCTCTAAAATTACTAAGCAAGTGCTCCATTATTGGAGGAATAAGACAGCGGGGACGTGCACAGGAGACTAGAGCATCTAGTGCCGGAAATTTATCTCATTTGTTCCTGAGAAGCCAGGAGGAAGGAGGTGAAGGGGAGCCCAGGACTGGCTCCTTCCCTTCCGGTCCCAGGACGCTGTTCATCAAGGACAAGGAGAGCAACGTGCCCTGATGCGCAGTGCTTTGCAATAGGTGACTCAGAAGGGACCCAGGGCATGGGGCAGAGTCCCAGTCAGGGGGCTGACTTGGCAGTGCTGAGGCGGAGGGTCATGAGCGGGTCCTCACCCTACCCCCAAGTTGGGCTTCGCCCCTGGGGCTGTGTGATCCCACTTCCCCGAGGCCACAGCCTGCACAACCCCCAGCCTCAGGAGCAGACCCCGTTGCTCGGCCTGGGTGGGAGGGGCTGGGGCCACCCTGCGTATCCAGCCTCAGAGCAGTCAAACTGAGAAAGTGCAAAAATGTGCTATAAAAAGAGAGCACATTTTTTTCCATCTGTCGAAGCAAAATCATTCATTTTTATTGCACTAGGAAATCTGTATGAAGTGGTAGATTAAGATCTTTTTTTAAAGTAAGAATTTAATGTGCCCACAATCTCCAAACCAAATTCCCTTGCGGTTAATTCTCAATCCGGGCTAATTAGGCATACCCCAAGGATGACACTTGTGCGACCAAATTAACCTTAAAATACTATGCAGGGGTACCTCGGTTCAACCCGAATCGTGAAATGAACTAAGTTCATGAACCAGAGAAGCACTATACAGCCTCAGAACCGTACTTTGCCTGTAGTAATAGATGGGGATGCAAAGGCGGGGGATTCTCAGGCCTTGGGGTCAGGAACTGAACTCTAAACCTGGGCTCTGCTGCTCACACTCAGTCCTGAACCTCTTTGGACCTCAGCCTCTTTGCTCCAAAGATGGATGAACTCAGAAGGTAGCTGTGAGCTTTATGACTTTACTGGAAAATGCAGGTATTAGGTACCTGGCACATACGAGATTCTCAGTATGTGCTAGAATTATCATCAAAAGGAATGCGGCAGGCCAGGTGTGGCAGCACATGCCTGCAATTCCTGGGCGGCTTAGTGACTTCGTGAGACTCTGTATCAGAACACAACAATTTTAAAGTTAATAAGGGCTGGGGATGTAGTTCAGTGTAAAGGCCCTGGATTCAATCTCCCAGCCCCAATACGGCAAACCAAGGAGTCTGTTGTTCAAGGACATTGGAGACACCTAAGAGGCCACTGTGTTCCAGGTCTTTCTGTGCTAGATCTGTGTGTAAATCCAGCCTGCCAAGCCAGGGGCGAGTGCAAGAATCAATTGGGAAAATGCTTCGGAATTTGTAAAGTGTTCCCTAAGGAGGAGGTACTGATCCGTCATTTCAGAAACAAGACATGCGTGAGACATTCCAAACACTTGTGTCCCATGTCCCCTTGATAGCCATCCTGAGATGATGGATCACTCCTTCCTCCCTCACTGCCCAGTGCCCTCTCCCTGCATCCCACCTCCCATGCTCTCACCAGAGAACTTCCGGGCCCACTGGGAAGCTCATCGCTCCACAGAGAGACCCACTACTCCTCCCAAGCTTTTGTGATGTCAACTGGGGCCACTTTAGATTACAAGGGGACAATGCCATCCTGTGAATGGATTTATTTGGCTTTCACGGTGCTTCTGAAAACCTCAAAGGACATGCTGACATTTAGAGATCAAGAAACTTTGTGGCTTCTCCTGAAAATGACCAGATCTGACAATGCCTGCTGCTTTGGCTCAGCACCATCCACCCAGTGAGAAGAAACTCCCTTGGATGGGGCTGTGCTGCCTGGAGGGCTAAGCGCTGTTCAGTCCACACCCAGGCCCTGGGACGTCTGAGTGTGCTAGCCATGCTGGTGACTGTTGAGCAGCAGCCTTGGGACGTGGAAGGTCTGGTGGCTTTCATGTTCACATGGTTTTCCAGCGGGCCACACACACTCATACAGATATTTCTAGATAACCAGTGAGGACGTGAAGATGTTACAGCCCCAGAGAGGATGCCTGGATGTTCATAATGTCTGCTCCCCAGGACAGAGGCCCAGCTCGCCAGCATCTCACAGGCTGGAGGGCCCCATCCACCTCTCTGCTCTTCTCCTTGCCAATTCCTTGTACCCCGCTTCTCCCTACACTGAAGAGACAGGGATATGGTTTCCCAAACAGGTTTCCGTCTCAGGAGTAGAGACAGTGTTCTTCTCTGATGGGCTTGGAGAGTCTTGTAACATCAGAGCGTCTTTGAAATCCAAGGGACTGAAGCTTATCCTCCAAATACATCAGGAGAGCAGAAGTGCACCTCAGTGAAAGGTCCTCTGGGACTTTCACTCTTGGCACCGCCTAGATTTGGAACAGGTTTGGGACACGTCCCTTTCTCTTCCTGCCTGTGCTCCTAGCTCTGCCACATGAGACCCATTTGACCTGGGGCAAGCTTATCTGCCCTGAGCTTGGAGAACGAATCAACAGTCCTGCCTTGGATGGCTACAGTCAAAGAGGAAAGAGGCTTGTCAGGGTTGGTGGCCCATCACTGTCCCTGGGGAAGGACAGCGGCTGTAAAGTACAGCATGGGGCCCTGAGGTGGGGACCCCGTAAGAATGCTCCTGAGGTGCGGGGCGGATCTTTCATTATGTCTCACAGTGGCCACTGGGCTTCGTGCACCCTGAATCTTGAAGGAGGCCCAGCACTGCTGCCCTGAAAGGAAACTCTCCTGGGGCCCAACCTGGGGGACAGGAGCCAGGAGTATGGTCTCAAGCACTGTTTCCAAGGACGGAGGGCCTAGTCTATAGCATCACTCCACAGACACCAGTGCTTGGCACCCTCCTGAGTGCCACACAAATGTACCTCCATGGTGACCCTGGCCTCCTGGCCACCTTCATGTTACTGTTTTGCAGAGCCCACTAGCTCATGCTCTTGAAGGCCACCTTGTATCCCTTGCCTCTGTGGGCCCAGTGCTTGGCCCCACTGAAAGCTCATGGATCTGTGAGCTGCTGTCGTCCAAAGTCCTCCTTGCAGGAAACCCTGGGTTTCACCCCACCTGCACCACCTACTGTTTTCTGGGCATCTCCACCTCTGAGGACACGTGTCAGACAGAGTCGGGGTGTTTTCTAGAGCAAAAATGCATGCACTCGTCTTCAAAAGAAACGATCCCATTGTGATTAACCAGACATGGAGGGAGAGCCTGGTGGAGGGAGGGCTAAGAAGCACTTACACAGAGAGGCACACACCGTACCTGCAACAAAGCTGGGTGGGAGGAGCTAACCACCTCCTGGATGTTCTTCACAACCTCCTCTGGGCTCAGTGTGGAGAAGCTGATTGGCACGCTTTCTTCTTTCTCTTTTGGCTGAGGTCTAGTTGTCTTGCTGTTCTCCAGTGCTCTCAAGAAGTCAAGGTAATTGATGGCATTATCATGGCAGATGATTCCCAAACTTGTCCCCACAAAAAATAAAAGGATATATTAACTTTAAAAAAAAAAATCTCTTGGTAGGGCCGGGGATTTGGCTCAGTGGTTCCGCTGCCTGCCTCCCAAGCGCAAGGACCCGAGTTCAATCCCCAGTACCAAGAACGCATCTACTGGGTATCCATTCAGCAAACAATTGCTGAGCACAAAGCAGTGTGGGGAAAATGAATGGTTTTCTGACACTACTCCCTGCCCTCTGTCATTAGGTAGGCACACGAATGCTGCCAGAGAGAAAACAGGTGAGCGTCACACAAGAGGGGAGGGAGGGAGGGTCACACTACAGGTGGCCTGTCCTGAAGACCTGGAGCATGAGCACTGGACAGCAGGGCTCACAGCTTGGAGGCCAGAAGACAGCAAGGGGAAGCTGGGCAGGCAGCGGGGCCCTGGCGAGGACGGGACATTTGCAGAGCAGTCCCGTAGGGTGGGATCACCCCTGACAGTAGCGTTAGAGCCGGCCCGGAAGTGAGACTGTGGGGCAGTGGCCAGCAAGGGACTCAGACAGGAGCTCCTGAGGCCTCTGCTGAGACAGAGGAGCTGGAAGAGGAGGAGACAGCTCAGGAACAGTGGAGAGGACAAGAGGGACCAAAGAAAAATGCGTTAAATTTCCTGTTGAGAATGGTGGAAAGAAGTTGCCAAGCCGACAGCTCTCCGAAGATACTGGAGATGTGCAAGACTTGTGCAGCCTAACATCTTCTCAAAAAGTACGTCTCATGCCTACCACCACCGGAACGCTCCCCAGCACTGACCCAGAAATGTCCTTTTCACTCTGGAGGGGTAGATTGTAGATAAAATGCAGAAGTTCCCTGAGAACATAGAACACATTTTCTTTAAAGGTCTAACATAACGCAACATAAAGTTTCAACGAATTCCAAGCTCCCATTTCTGGAGCCTACTCTTGGGCCCTGGCTGGCACTCAAGCACATAAACCCTCTTTCACCTGGGTGAGATGCAAGTGTCAGAGTGGGGCAGGGTGCGGTGTTGGTGAGACGGAGAGAGAAGAGCCAGGGACTCAGATCTGCTGCTAGGATGAGGAGCCAAGAGCCGAACTTTCCCAAGGCACAGGGGCAGAGCAGCGCCCAGCCCTGGGATGGGTCGGCTCGAGCCGGCGGACAATCGGCACTACTTCCTCAGCATGGCCTTAACACGGAGGAATAAAATCAAATGCATATGCTAATCAACCCAGTATTTAGAAAAGTCTGTTTTGGAGCTAGGAAAGAGTAATCCCCGCGCAATCACCAATAGCCGTAATGTTTATCATCAAGAAGTCTTTGAGAAGAAACGGGCAACTGCGTGGTGGATCCTTATTAAGGTTTCAGTACGTAAAACTTTGATCACCCTCACCAGAAGGTGGGTTACAGAAATTGTGCAGTCCTTTGTTGTTGTTGTTGTTGTTTATAAAAGCAGCAAGCCTATTACTCTTAATGATATTCTCATATAATCACTTAGCTAATGGTTTATCTGTGGCTACTTTCTCACGATTTATTCATGGAAATCATATGCATTTTATTCGCTTGGAGATAGATTCAGTGAGAAAAGACTGTTTAAGAAACACAAGAACATATAAGCATTTGAGGATAAAATGGTTGTCACTTTCTGTACACACACACACACTCACACACACACACTCACACACACTCACACATATGCAAACATAGCACTGGACTTCTCATAGCTTGAACACAATGGAGTGATAGCTTCAAAATTTTTCCAGGAAACAGTTTTCTCCCTAGGATTCTAGGCTCAGACAAGCTAACAATCTGTGTGAAGAGGACCTTTAAAGAAGAGATTCAGGCAAAAATAACTCAGAAGGTTTACTCCTTTCTTGTCTTTCAAAGGAAATTACCTCAGGAGGTACCTCGGCAAGAGAAGACGTAAATCAAGAAACGAAAGGATGTGATATGGAGGGAAGAGGGGACATGCGCAGAGTTGAGAAGTGTCACTCTTATCTCCCAGAAGGAAAACCAGAATAATCTTCCTGGACCCGGAAGAGAACTGAGGTCACGCGTGAAATGCCACCCTGAAATCTGGAGGGGACTCACATCCAGAGGCTCACAGCTGGGACCGCTCTTCGGAGGGAAGAGTCTTTGGCACCACAAGCTGGTGGGAACAGGTGCAGGGTAATCCTGACTGGTTGAGGCCGAGTGTGAGGGAGATACCGGGGATCTGGCCTCAGGTACCGCCTGCCCATGGGCTTTCCCTGCAGGATCCCACCAGCTTCTCCCAGTGAAGGCCTGAGGAAGATCTCCTGGTTAGAGTCCCCAGGATAAGGGAAGGGCCACCCGGCTCAGAGCCTTCTCTATAACACTTTCCAGGAGACTTTTCCAAGAGACTTTAGCAGGCCTCACGGCTCCAAGGAAAGGACGTAGCCTCGTGTTATGATTTCTATCTGGCTGTCCCCTGAAAGCCCCATGCAATCAAAGGTGGGATCCTTTTTGGAGGTGATTGTCTTAGAGAGGCGGTAGAGCTGAATTTGACGTCAGCAGGCGAGGCCTGGCTGGAGGAGACAGACCTGTGTATCCATGAAGGGTTTATCTCCCTCCTCAACTCTTTCTTCAGCTCTCTACTTCCTGTCCACCATGCTGTGAGCAGCTTTCCTCTGCCTCACTCCCCTGCTTGGGGCCGGCTGTCCATGGAGCCAAATAAACCTCTCCTTCTTTACTTCGTGGGTATTGAGTATGGTGTGTCAGCAACAAGGAAAGTAGTTAAGACACTCCTTTAGCCCCCTCAAATCTTTCTGTCTTAGCTAGAGGAGGAAAAAAAAAAAGCCAAAAGATACTTTCAATTGCAGCCCAAGGACTCAGATCCCCTTAGAGACTTTGATCCTGAGGTTACAGAACATTTCCCCTGCCCACACCAGTCTCACCACATCATTCCAGTGCTGGTGTAATCACGGTGGATTCTGACTAACAGAGCTCCAAAGCCCACTTGACTTTGGAGGCAGTTGCTGGTGAATTCCAAAGAAAACAAGAGAGACAGAAACAGGGACACCAGGGGGACAGGGGCCCCTGGCACTGACCGCTACAGCAAAGAGTAAGCACCCAGCCAAGCACCAAGTATCCACCGTCCAGGGCCGCATCCTCCCCTACTGCCATACATCACGGCTGGCTTCCGCACCAACACGACTACAGGGCAGTCTAACAGCAGTACAGGAACAGTCTGAAGAGACGAGCAGCCTCAGAGCCAGCCTCCGTGAGCACACGAGTTCCGGGATCACTAGACTGGGAATTTTGAACAACAGTGAGATATGAAGAGCTAACCTGGGAGAGTGGGGGCCAGGCAAGGGCAAATGGGTGTCGTGAGCAGAGATGGAGGTGCTAGAAGATGAAAGCAGAGAAGAGAAGTGAAGAACGTCCTTGTGGGCGCGTCGGGTGACAAGGCTGGGAAAGGAGAATCAGTGAGCTTGCAGCACGTGGGCAGAAGTCTCTCAAATGGGAAAGCAAATTTAAAAAGAATGGAAAAAAGCAAACAAGGCAGAATATCCAAGAACCGCGGGGAAACGCCAAAAAGATCTGTTTAATTAAAACATTAGGAACAAAGAAAGGAACAGAAAAAGCATGAGAAGTCATCATGACCAACTTAAAAAAAGAAAAAAAGAAAAAGAAAAAGACAAACTTGCCAACAGAGGAATAAAGACAAGAATGACTTTGGACTTCTCACCAGAAATCATGAGAGAAGAATGCGTCGAAAGAAAAAAAATCATCAACCTAGAATTCTACGGCCAGTGAAGTTAGCCTTCACAGGTGAATTGAGGGACCACGACCTGGGTTTCTCTGGGTTATTTTTCAGTTCCTGCACAGACAGGAAGCTCCGCAACCCGACTCCAGGCAGCTCCTGGCAGCAGAAGACCAGAGCTCTCCCAACAACAAGGCCTAAATGGTACATGGTGATAGAATTTCACATTAACAACAATTTTTAAGCATGACTATATCCCAAGTACTGTGTGGTATGTGTTTATACAGTGGACCCTTGACTTTTGAACTCAATTCATTCTCTAGGGCTGGTTGTAACTCAAATTGGTCAACTGAAGGTTCAGGCTCCTCTACACAGCCTTCAAAGTCTCTCTCTCATACACAGGCAGGCTTCAGTGTCCTTTGAGGGACACTGGCCCAGAATTTCTTAGTTAATCCCATACAGGAAAGGATGTTGTCATGTTCCTTCTAGAACTCTTCACGGGGTAAATCTGTGTCTGAGACTGAGACCATCTGGAAGCACAAATGGCCAGAATTTGGTCCATAACTCAAGATCTTGGTCGTAAATTAAAGCCAAAATTTTGGTTATAACCCAAGTTGTTTATATGTCATGCTGGTTGTAACTTGAGGGTCCACTGTATTTTTGAGGAAAGCATCCCATGTGAAAGATTCTTTTAAAAGTGAGAGTGAGAGGGGATTTCTCAAACAAAAATGTTTTTGAAGTCTATTCTTAATTTCAGAGAAATGAGACAGCACATTCATGAAATAATAGGGTGCTTTGCAGCAAGGGACATTTGGAGAATGAGAACAAGAATCAGCAATTTGAACACAGAAGTAGGATGGCAGAAACAAAACTCTCAAAAAAAGACTAGGATGCTGAAACAAAAGGAATGACCCAGGAGACGGAATAAGATGCAAGGAGATGGAAATGAGAAAGTTTAACAAAAATTAGGCTACAGTCTAGGTGGTTCAATGTCCAACAATAACGGAAGTTTCAGAGAGAACAAAGGAGAGGAAATCACTCATGAAAAAAGTCAAGACAGTTTCTGGGAACTGAAGAAGATGAACGGGGCTTCTCTGACAAGATACAGTGGGCAGCTGGGCGGAAGGGTCTGAACACACTGGACAGAGACGTCACGTCATGCCTAGTGCTGTGCTGGGGATTGATTGAGAGGTCACAGGGCCGGGGATTTGGCTCACACTTCCACCGCCTGCCTCACAAGCGCAAGGACCCGAGTTCGATCCCCAGTACCAGAGAGAGAGAGAGAGAGAGAGAGAGAGAGAGGGTGGGGGGGTCATAAGTATATGGGAAATTAAGTGAACAGAAAAAACAAGCTTATACTGCAGGCAGTGCTATGGAGAAAAACGTTATCAGCTTAGCCATGGTCCTGCACATGGATCCCCAAAACTGGGGCTGCAGCCTGGTGAGCTGTGTGGATAGGTGTCTGTGGGTTTTCACATCTTCCCGGCAAGAAGTCAACAGACACTGCCAGCAAGTTCAAAGTCAGGAAGTAGCCCCAGAACTCTGTTACACAGAACTGGGGACATCAGTAACAAAAGCCACCAGCTGACTGTGCTGGAAGTGAATGACCCCGGGCTGGGAAACAAGAGTAACAGCAGGGCAGAGGGGCTGCTCTTTCTAACAATAAACTCATAAGGTGATACGACTTCCAACATGCATGAAAAACACGGAGAAAATAAAAATGAACAGTGAAAGACGACGATTATGCTAAGACCCATCAGGAAAACATCATGTGTTTGTCAGATTGCTTTCTTCACTGCTTGTGGCCGACTCCAGCCCATGCAAGGCAGCCTGGCCCAAAGGGGCACAGGGAGGTCATCTCAAGATCCAAGGCGGTTCAAGAAAAAGCGCGCCTCACCTGGTCAGCACAAAGAACAAAAATCAACCCCCCAGAGACCTGTGCAGAAGACCGGTCAGTTCCTCCTCCTTCAGGGGACAGCCACATTCCTGCAACACCTGCTGCATCTTGCAGAGGGGCACGGAGCCGGACTGGGATTTATCCAGTGCACTGAGTGCTTTGCTGATGTCCTGACAGTGGCCCATGAGCTGATCCCTGAAAAAGAGCACATTTCAGACGCACCCCAGACTGATGTGATGACTCGATCGCTCCTCTAAGAGCGAGTTTGGATGGCGCGTTGCAGGCTCCGTGTAACATTTACATGAAAAAGTATCCTGGAAGAAGTGCCAAGTCTGTACTGTTACCATTTTATTATTATCGTTAGCAAAACCATATTAGAGAAATTGCAAACTTGTCCTTTTACTAGAATTGGTGCTTTTGAAAATGGAGTAAAAACTTCACAATACGAGGATGTTACAGACATGTGACATACACCTTCACTCGCCATAAATGCTTGCTCAGGGCCTGTTAGGGGCCACCTGCTGCCCCTGGGACATCCAGGACACATGCAGGTGTCCCCAGGAGTGTTACCCTCCAGTCAGGCCATTTCGAGAAGAGCCAGGTGCATGCACGCTATGTTAGTGGATGAGAACAGTCAATTTGGGGACAGCGGGTATGCAAAGTGGTAGGCGACTGCAGTTTTTAGCAAGGGGTCATGTAGATCCTGCTGGCATGGTGACTACAGAGCCCAGCCTGGGGGGCAAAGTCCCCTCTAGGGAGGGCTTTCGTGGGGTCTAGGGAGCAGCTGGCACCAGGCCCTCTGGCAGGAGTAGAGGCACATGGACAGGCATGGGGTCCCATCAGCACTGGGGACAGCAGTGTCCAGAGATGCATCACATTTAGGTTGTTAAACACGGTCACCATCTGTGAGCATCAGCTGGGGGAGTGGGAGCTGAGCCGTCCCCACAAGTACATTCTCACACTGATCTTCTCAGCAACCCTGCAGGGGCTCATCAAACCCATGGATGACATAGGGAAGGTGGTGCTGGACCCAAGGGCAGCTGAGGACAAGACCAGGTCTTCCACAGTGGTGCGAGAGAGGGCACCCTGCTCAGTGCCCAGCTCTGTGCAGAATCCATCTCCGCAGTCTCTCTGATTCAGTTCTTCGGCACAGGAAACTTCTTCCCTGACTTCACCAACATTACTGTCAGCGGACGTCTTTAGGCCGGAACAACTTTGCCCTTGACCATGGTAAGGAACGGTGCTCAGTTCTGCCATCTCAGGTCTCTGAAAAGCTCCTCCTAAACCAACTCAGGATAGTGCTTGCCTGATGGGCTCAGATACTGTGGAGGCTCCGTCCCCGCCTCAAGGACAAGAACTCGCTGTCAATTCTGAACAGTATGTCCCTGGCGGTAATCGTCACCTCAGGTAGGTATTTGTGGGAGAGGACAGTCCCTGGACCACAGCTGGAAAAAACCGTCTGCATAAACCGAACAGTCAGAAGCCCAGGAGAGGAGAGATAGAGTGGGCATCCTCGGCATGAGCGGACACAGAGGCATTTACACCGGAGCTCCCTGATGATCTCCAACGTTCCACTACTGGCCTCCGATGTGGAGCTGGCTTCTGCAGCGTGGGAGCCACGTCAGGTACACAAACTTGAATGTGAGTCAACGGCACCAGCAATCCAGGCCGCACGCAGGTGTACGCGGGGCTCGGTCTCGTGTCACAAAAGCACTGCTCCCTAACGCACCCATTCTATCCCACTTAACCCCTCGAAGTGGAAGCAAATAAAGGTAGAAAAACATCAAAACACTTCTGGAGATACCTGTTTTTAGAAAACTGGGGCATTCAGCATTAGGCAGTCATGATTCCCGCTTTCAGAGTAAATCTGCCTACAGCGTAAATGAGGCCTGGAGGCACAGATCGCCGCTGCTGGCCCACATGGAGGAAAGGAGCTGTGCTGGACCCCGGTCCCCGTCCTGGTCGGTATGGGCACAGCCACCCAGCCCCAGCTGGACCCTCACGGACCCCGCCTGTGTGTTCTACACAGGCCTGTGTCTCGGGGCTCCTCAGTTGTTCTGATTTCCATCTTCAGCTCAGACTGGGGCAAGAAAAGGGCAAAGCCCGGAAAGGAAACATAAATCTGCAAAAGGATTTTTTTTCATCTTGAAACTGTATCGGGGGGCACTGCAGATGGAATCAATTCCCTTGGAGTCCAGAGACGGGTATAAAGCTTGCGTCCCTTCAACTCCATGGGGTTTTCAGTCTCACCCGAGTTTCAGTAGAAAGGAGGAGATGGAGAAGATCAGGACACAGAGTCTCAGGTTGTCTGAAAGCTCTGTGATCACTACACTGGCAAACAGGCTGTCCCGGAGGGCAGAGTTACTTAATGAATTTGAGAGTCCAGGATTTCCAGGACCTCACCTTGGCCACACATCTGATGTGGTTCTTGAGACAGCGGCAGTGGCGGAACAACCAGGCCAGCGTGAACTGGGGAGCTGAGCCCCTCACTTCAAAACGGGTCACCACACGTCGTGTGGTCTCAGCCGAGCCCCTTTCGCTGGTCAGCAGGACGGGAGGAGGAGGCATAGGGCGACAGCCCGGGGGAAGAAGCTTCTCATGGGAGCCTCAGCCCTCGCCAGGAGCAAGGGCAGGAGTGGAAAACGAGGCCACCCCGCTGCTGGAGAAGATAAATTCTGCCTTCCCACCGGCTTTGTGGCATATCTGATTTACAAGATCCTGTGCATATTTTGTGTTCAGTTTCTCAAACCCAATTCTCTGCCTCCAGGCCTGTGCCTCAGTAACTTAGATGTAATCCAGAGTGTGTTCCAACTGCTCTTCCCTCACACCCGACTTCATCACGATGTTACAGTCCAGGGCCCGTGGCCATCTTTGGGGATTCTTCGGCAGCAACCCATTCCCTCATTCACCCATTGATGCGTTCACTCCCTTAGGTGAGAACAAAGCACTGAGTCCCGCCGCTTGAGGTGACAGGCAGGGGCAGGAGCAGGTGAGAGCAGGGTGCACCCTGCAAGGGAGACAGATGAGTGGCCTTGAGGGTAGGGGTGACAACGGCTTTTGAACAAGAAAATTGTTCAATAAATCTCATTGCTTTATGGCTGCATAATGCACAGCAGTTTTTTCCCTACTTTATCAATGTTAAAAACATGATGTGAAGCCGGGCGTAGCCTATAATCCCAGCACTTGGGAGGCTGAGGCAGGAGGATCGCTGTGAGTTCGAGACCTGCCTGGGCTACATAGTGAGTTCCAGGTCAGTCTCAACTACTATCCCAGATCCCAGCACTTGGGAGGCTGAGGCAGCAGGATCGCTGTGAGTTCGAGACCTGCCTGGGCTACATAGTGAGTTCCAGGTCAGTCTCAACTACATAGTGAGAACCTGTCTCAAAAAAACAAAAAACAAAAAACAAAAAAAAAACCCTAAAAACATGATGTGAGTAGCGGTTTTAAATTTTGTACATAGCCAAGTACAATCTCACCGCCAAAATACCATGTATGGCCTTGACAAGCAACTCCTGGTCCTTGCCGATGTGCACACACACCTGACACTGTACCATTTGTGGCTGCACACTTGGGTTACGACGAACACTCTGCTTTCTCACAGCCATCTGAACAGGTGCGTACATCACGCTCTCTTTCGGGCCGTGACTCACTAGGCCACTCTTTGGGGACTGAAAAGTGTTCTTTTTGCTGTTATCATTAAGGACACACTGAAAGTCCCACCTTGCCTCTACCAAGCTCTTCCGAATTCATTCACTGGGATGGAGCCTTTTCCAAGCAGAGGCGGTTAAAGGATGTCTGTTCATCTACCCGTCCACCCAGCCATCCGTCCACCCAGCAGTATTCACAGGGGGCCTGTTAGGTGTCTGGCACTTGGAAAAGTGACATCCTATGGAGCTTACACTCTAGCGGGGCCAGGTGAAGGGCCAGGCATGGTGTAGGACCCAAGGGGTAGTTTTCGAGGCTGACACACAATATGAAAGGGTGTAAGACTCGGACTGGGGAAGGTGAGCCGGGCTTCGAGCTTTCCGACTCCTTTATGCACTTTGGCTTACAGATTTCTAGAATCTGAGGCAGTGTGGGAACACAGTGTTCTGCTGTTACTCTGCCGGCACACAGTGGACGGGGCCACTGCACAGCAGGGCTACCACCGGGGTGAACCGAGGGCACAGCATCTGGACTCCAGAACCTACCTGGCTGGCACGGCCCTTTCTATGCTCTGCTGCAGCTCCTGGATTTCTTCTTGTACTTGCTGGGGCTTTGTGAAGCGACCCAGGGGGTTGAAGTCATCTTCTGCGTAGGGCCGGTGGACTGCCGGTGAGTAATTAATACCCAGTTTCTGTAAAAACTCCTGGTAAGTAATGCAACCTCTTCCTTCCGTGTCATAGCTGAAAACAAGAGAAAGAAACAAAGCTGTCAACAGTAGCCATGAAGATGTACAGGTGTTCAGGGCCTGCTCCCCATCTGGCGGCTGGGAGGGGCGCAGGTGACACTTCGGTGCTGTGTAGTCAGAAATGCAGAGTTCCAGGCCTGGCCCCAGACGTGCTCTGAATCCGTATTTACCAGGGTCCCCAGGTGACCCACGGTGACCACGTTGGAAACCCACTCGAAGCCCCACCCCGGGAGAGTGCAATCAGAGCCATCTACCTGTCCTACTAGTGAGAACACCACCCTTCCGCACATCCAACAGTTTGTATCTTGTGTTGAGCACCAATGTGTAAAGGAGCTATGCTAAAATTTCGAAGAAAATCCTTCAAAAAGTCTGATCCGTCTGAAGACTCAAATAAATGAATGTCACTCGATTCAAGGGTGGAACAAGCCCCTATTTTCTCCCTGAAGTGATGGCAATTACACACACCCAACGAGAGAGATGAGAAGGAAAACAAGATAAGAAGTGTGTTCTGTGCCTTTTATGTCATTTTCTATTATCAAGATTTTTCTGAATTATAATTCATTAAAAAAGACATAATGGAGGGTTTTTATCTCCCAATGTTATTCAAATAGAATAGAATCACTTCAATAAGAATGGTTAGGCAAATTGCCAATTCTCTTTAAAGCAAAATTTGCATTTATTTTTATAGAAAGATCTTGGTCCTCATCTAATCGATAAAAACAGCATTTGCAGATGTGATTTTTTTTCTCCCCAGATAAACCCAAAGGTGTGAGGCACAAGACTGACATTGGAACAATCTCTTGAGGCTAAAGAAGACAGGATGTGGTTTTCATGCCTTCTGTCCTCACAGGATGGAGGGGCAGGCGGAAGAGGAGAAGCCCTCCTGTGCCCTCTTATGCTCATGCACACTGGGGAGGTGGAAGATTGTGAGTTCTAATTCAGCAGCCGGAGCTCCAAGCCAGATCCTGACTCCAAACCCAACAATCAAACTAACAAACAAGAAACCAAGGCAAGTCAACACACTCATTAGGGAGACCCGCAGATGCTGGTTCCCAAGCCTCTCCTTGGGAACAAACGGCAGTGGTTCCCAGGCAATGCTGTCAAGGGCAAGGGCTGTCCCTACCATTGGTGTGAAAACAGCTGCAGAAAGGGCAGTGTCATTTCACATCCCCGAGCCTGGGAGGGACAGGACTGCCACCTCCTGAGCCTTGAGGCGACCCCAGGGCTGCACACCCCTCTGTAATCGCATCAGGACCGGAACTAACTTTGTGCCACCCGATGAGGCAGCAGTGCAATTCAGGTCAGGACGCCTGCTGAGCAAGCTCCCAGGGTGTCCCCATCCCTGCGGCATGGTTCTGGACAGATGGGCCAGACAACCCCTGTACCTTTATCAGAAACCTTTCCTCCCAAGTGTAAGGTGCTTTGCTCGGTACTGGCTGCTCAATTCTCTCAGTGGAGGGGAGGTTGGGTGGGGGTGGAGACCCACGCCAGGGTGCCAGGCACAAGGAGCACCACCCTCCAAGGGGAGGCAGAGTGGCAGCTTCTGCCCCGGACAGCACTCCCACCGTAGGCCGTTCAAGAGTCCCAACAACCTGCTGCAAATCACGACACTTGAACTGAATGAAAAGGCACTTTTTAATTACTTCATTAATAAAGATCATAAACATTCTCTTCTCATCACAAAGGAACAGGAGACCAGATTGCACAACTGCAACTAAAATATTGTTATGAATGTGAATAATAAGAGAGTTAATTCAGCTTACATAACCTCACCCTTCATTACATAATCCTTCGTGTAACATTAAAAAAGAATCAACTCGCCTATAAAGGTTGAATTTTAAAATGGCTCAGCAACAGATGTGCCAGGGAAAATGTGCACATAACCGGAGGCCCCATAAAAACTTGCATTTGCATGCAGCAGTGCCCATTAATTTCTGACATAATCAGATTACTGTGCCCATTTATCATACACACAGCGATTCGGTGGTACACATAATCTGGGTATGTTCAGATTGTTTTGCTTCACTCAGAAAGTCTGGGTCCTTTATGCTCAGTTCAGGCATTTGCTTCTTACATAAATTTTGGAAGTGCTTTTGAATGTCAATGGCGCCAGATGTTAGAGCTGAGCTGGGGTGCGGGATGAACGCCCCCCATGACCCAAGCCACACCTGGGAGGAGGGGATGTGGTATCTTGTGCAGCCAGTGATCATTTGGGAGGTCGGTCGGGTGGCTTCAACAGCTGCTTTTCAGAATAGACAGTAGCCAGCGGCCCGAGCTGGACAGGCCCAGTGGGCACAGCCGGCGAGTCCTGAAGGAGTCCCTGAAGGTTCAATACCATCTGCTCCAGTCCCGATCCACAGCCCAGATCCTTCCTCTGTTCTCCCAGCGCGTGGAAGTCCAGCCGCACAGAGAGCCACGCCGCAGATGCAGAACCCGCTTTTCCGGAGGCTGCTGGCTAGAACTGTAGAAGCTTTGGCCCTCTGAAGAGCTCTTCCAGCTCAGCCGGAGCTCACCTGGCTGACACGTCGTCCCCAAAGGGAATGTCCCTCAGATGCAGTGTGCTGAGGCTCAACCCCTGCACTCGAGTCCCATCCGATCTCTTTGAAGCTAAAGATCCCACTTTTTGCCCTGAGGCTGGCCCTGTCCAGATGTTTAGCAACTGGACACCAGATAGGTTCTCTCCAGGCTGGGCTCTGCTGAGCCTGAGGGGTGACCTTGCTTCCTGCATCCTTTCCTCACGCGAGCTGCTGCCCAGCAATGGGAACTTTCATGCCTCCCCTCATATTTCCATACTTGCCCCGTGAGACCTTGCTATTTTTAGATGAGTACAGACACAACACACCGACACCATCAAGACAGGGGCACACACTGAGCCTTGTGTACCTGTTCACTTCCGGTCGGGGCTGCCTGGCTGGCTGCTCACACACCCGATCCCTATGCCAACCTTGCCCACCTTGCTGCTGTCCACTGGGAGCTTCTCCTTGGTGCATTCCTACAGCTCACTTTCTGTATCACTCTACTGTGAAGCTTCTTTCAGATCCTGGGACCCTAGAATCGAGCACAGGGCCAGCACTTAAGACTGCTTCAAGGCTGAGGGAGTGAGAGAGAACATCTCCACGTGGCAATTTTCTTGCAGCAATCTATTCAAAGCCAAGCAGTGGGTCGCTGCTGACAGCTCAGGCTCACAGCTCCTGGTTGGTGTGGGAGCTGGGCTCCTTTGTCCCTTTAACCCGCTATGAGCTGGGCTCACCTGAACTCCACCTGGTGCCCATTCCTGGCCCCTGTGTTGCTGGCAGGGCCTTGGCCAGCCCTGGCAATGGACTGTGAGCTGAAGTGGGCACACACCTGTAAGCCTGTGTGACCCTCTGGCTCTGCGGTCCCCAGCTGCTGGGTGGCGTCCCCCACTGGGGTGATAAGGCCACCCTCTAGCAGCCAGCCACATCCCCAAATCACTTCCTGGGAAAGAACTGTTCACAAAAACCACTGCATCTGCAGCAGAATAAGACGTAAAATATTGATGTGCTGAACCACTGAGATTTGGGGGTTAACTGATTAATTTACTTCTACAGCATAAACTAGACCCTCTAGACTAATCCAAAGCTCTAACACCATGCACTTCACAGGTGCTTAATAAATGTGGAGTGAATAATGGAGGGTGACATTTTTTCCTTGTATTTTTGTCATTTTTTTTAACGTGCATGTTTTCACACGAGCAGAACACCATCTTCCCTGCCCCTGCTGCCCAGCACTGCGGTCTTCCTGTTCGGACTCCCTGGCTGGACACTGGGCATTGTTGGCCCTAGGTGCTCCCGACTCCCCTGGGCCCTGCTACTCAGCAAGGTTGGGGTGTGGGGATCCTCAAACACTGCCCTGGGGAGGAGGCTGGCTCCTCCCTGTTGTTAGGGCAACTGGAGGAGCTGCTGGTGCCGTGACAACCTGTCCTGCAGGCGCAGCTCCCCTCCTAACTGCGCACACTCCGCCACAAGGGGAACAAGGCAGCAGGGAGGGGCGGGTGAGCACTATAAGACGGATGTCGCCTCAACCCAGAGAAAAAGGAAGAAAAACACGCCATCAGGATCTCACTGTTGGTTGTCTCCGCCAAGTGGTTCTGGGCGGGTGCTTTGTTGCCCCTTCCTTGGTGTTGTTCTGGGTTTTGTCTTCTAGAGGCGCAGCACACTTTTCCACATTTGTAGTTTTCATTTTGCTCCTGACTTGTACGCTTGGAGGTCAGGCACTCTGCAGAGCTGGGGGTGCTTGGTACACAGGATCATCCCATTGGATGCATGGCCGGGCCCCGTGCCCTGTGGTGCAGGGTGGTGCTGTGGGGTGGGGTGCCGAGCCCACCTCCCTGAGTCGTCTAGGGCTTTCCCGTTCTGCACATGTGCTCCAGGATACCCTAGGAACAACTCCCTCCTCCTCGCGCTGGCTCTTCCTGGCTGCTAAAGGACATGCTCTCTAGCCCTTGCTGCCTCCAGGACTGTATCTGCCCAGGTTGCTTCCTGCTACACCTCTGGGCTCAGGTCAAGGTGCCCAGGGCATCCTGGCCTTCATGCTAGCGCTGGGCAGCTGTGCTGGGCCACACTCTCTCTTAGCCACCAGTCCCCTGCTGTTCACTTCTGCCCACCCAGGTCCCCCAGCAGCAGCTGTTCTGGAATGCGACACTCTCCTTTCCTGGTGGCTCTTGGTCTCTGCTTGTCCTGCAGGTCCTCTGTGCCACCAGTCACACTTGCTCTTATATCTTTCACTTCTCAACAAATTGATTTTGCTACATGAAAAAAAAAAGGCAACGTAGTTCAAAAAGCCTCGCTTAGCAGGCACTCACCCCTGAGGCCTTCGTCAGGTGCCGCAGGAGCTCTGCCCTTGGTCTCCAAGTACTTCTCCCCTTCAGGCCACCTGGGATGTTAAGGATACGCTCCGCTGACCTCCCTGCCACCCACCGAGAACCACATCGCCGGGGGTTTAGAGCACGTTTGTGGGAGGACTGAAGGAGGAGAGAGCAGGCATTTCCCCCCGTGTCACCTGGGCCATCCTTGTGCATCCCCGGGTGACAGGGTGGACAAGTTCCGTTTGGCAGATGAGAATTGTGCCGCCCAGAGAAGCCGGGAACACGAGGAGGGCCACATGGCTGGAAGGGGCACAGGAGCCACACCTGGGCATCTGTCTGCGAGCTGCTCCTCTTACCCACTCAGTGTCCACGGTGGGAGGTCAAGCAAGGGCAGAAAAATTCTGACCACAAGCAGATTTCAACACAGAATGAGAATCTGTGCATTTCATAAAATTGTTCATTCGTGTGTAAGGAGATCGCAGCTAAATGCAACGGCAAGTGTGGGCCTCCACTGAAGACTGGAATATTTCAGAAAGGGACATGGGTGTGTACGTTCATTCTCCATGGAAGACCCCAGCACTGGTCCCTGCTCAGGACCCTGCCTTTCCCCCCAGCAGTTTCCTGATTCACTTTCAATCACAGCTACACCGGAAATTCATGGCTCCCTAGTGCCCAGCTAATGACAGCTGAGAGTAATGACTCTGGGGAGGGACTGCCTGACCTTTGTTTTTACCCTGAGAATCCCAGGCCGCTGCTGGGGAAACCACTCGCTGCCCACGGGTTGGGCGGTCACTGCTCACCGTCCCCATCCTGGTCCCCAAGATGCTGTGTCAACATCCCTGGTGCCATGACCCCAAGCACCCCTGCTTTTAACTTCTGCCACCTGACTTGTGCTGTGCTGTGGTGTTTCCAGGCAGCGCTGTGCTCCGGGAATCTGTGTGGCAGCTCCCTGTGCCCTGACAGCCCCCTGAGCACAGGGACCGTCTCTAAATATCCCAAGCTGGAGAGCTGTGCTTTATGTAGTTACAGCTACATACCTAACGTGCCAAGGAAGAAAAGGGGCAGGGAGTCTAAACTGGCCCTGTGTTAGAACTGCTCTTTTTTTAAAAATAAGGATTTTGTGAGAACTTCAAATGTTTCTAAATTAGATGCAAAACAACCCACCTAATTCTAAACCTGGCCACTCTGAACAGATGAGAAGCTGGAAGATGACAGGTGCCGCGCTGTGAGCTGGCTCCCGAGTGGACTCCAGGGCGGGTGTGCCGTCCTGCAGGAGCCCAAGGGGCACCGAGGAGGTAATGGAGGAGGCAGCAATCAGAGACGGGCCTGGCGCTTAGAACTCAGACATCTGCACAGGGGATGTCCCAACTGGGGGCCCGATTCGAAGGCAGCTGTATCTAAAACACGTTCTGAAACAGGGCACCTACCTTAGATTGTATTTTCAGTGTAAGAGGCCCTCAGGAAACCACTCCAAGTTTGCCAAAAGTTCAGCTATTTTCTTCCAACAAATTACTTATCTATAAAACAGTTGTGCCAGTTTGATTTCCACCTGTAGGTGAGGGAAACTGCCTTTTCCTTTACCACTCACTCATCTGTGTGATGAGCCAGTGGTATCAGAGGGAAGTCTTGGGAGAGTAACTTATTTCTCTAAAAGAGCGAGTGCGTGGGCTGTACTCCTGCACTCTGGGATACACAAAACTCTCAAGGCCAGTACTGCTGGGGAGGGGTTACCACGGCTCTCTACAGCTCCGGAGTCCAGCCCGTCCATCAGCTGCTTTTGATGAGGACGGAGGAACAGGCGCCCAGGTTCTAAGACCCAGGACCCAGGACTGAAACCAACCCAAGAAGATCTTTCCCAGCTCCCCAGTCCTTCCGAAGAGATGATAAAAGATTTGCATGGAATTTTCCAGAGTAACCACCCCAAGGCCGTCAGAACAGACCTGGGCTATCCTGGAGACTCCGCTCACCTCTGCCAAAGCTTCTCGAATTCTCTTGGTGTGAGGGGAACGTCAAAGCCATACAGAGCGTTCTTTATGTCCCGTGGTCGAAGAATGCCATTGCCCTCGGTATCAGTTTCTATAAAATTCTGCAATTTCAGAAGATGGCGTTTAGTAGCATATAAAGCGTGTTTACTAGTCCATATCTGAAATGATCTAAGGGGTGTCTCTTCCTCTTTTTAACCTCGTTTCCAGACGTTCTTGCTGATCCTGTAGGGAAGATCATGAGCACTGCAGGGATGAGTGCCCTGCATTAAAGGGGGTTATGAAGGGGTAAAGGCATGGTCTCTGGGGCCTGACCTGGAGTCTTGCCCCTACCAACAATCTGGCTCTACTCCTGATTGGAAATAAGGGCAAACCAGACGCAGAGAGGAGACTGAGGGCTCCCACCCCAACAATGTAGTGGGTTTGGTCCCCTGGCTGTGAGAGATGACACGGGGCACATCAGGTGCCAGCTGGAATGACAGGATGATCTGGCACCACGTCAGAGTCCCCCAGAGGTACAACGGTACCTGGGGACTTGGTAGGGATTTAGGAGGACCACGCACTAGAACAGCAGCCAACACCATGGTGCCCAGCTAATGGTCTCCAGGTGACAGCTCTTCCATCTCCTGGGGTAACACAATGGGGCAGAGAGGATGGGCATGAAGTCCTCTTCAAACCTTATGCCACTGGTAGAAGGTCAAAACAGATTCCCTCCAGATGAAGGGTGAGAGCCAACATTGGTCCAGAGGCTCAGCCAGTTCAGTGAGGAAAGGGAAAGGGATCCAAAGAGTAACCACAGGACCAGAAGCAGAACAACCATCACCATTCCCAGGGGGCAGGGCTGTAGTCACGGGACACAAAGCACCACAAAGAGTTGTACATGAGGTGAATTTAGCAAGAAAGCCTGGCTTCTATGTGAACACGTAGAATTGATTACGTTTTTATATATCAGTCACAGGAAAAGAAAAATTTAAGGGTAACATTTAAGACAGTACTAAAATGGAAAGTCCTGAGAATAAATCTATACATGATAGGTAAGACCTCTACACAGAAAACTCTTAACCTTTCTCAGTAACTTTTTTTTTTTTAATGGAATTTCACAAACTGATTCAAAACCCCTTGGTGAACGAGGTAAAAGGAGTCACCTACCGGCTAATTATGATATGTGAGTAAGTTACAGCAACTGCGAAAATGAGGTACAAGTGCCTGGGAACACGGAGTGACCAGTGAGACACCGCAAGCCCTGCTGGTGATGCTGTAGTCAGTGGGGGAGGGAGGGACTGTGGGGAAAGGTGAGATCGCCAGGGTATCCACGGGAAGAGACCAGTTGGTCCCGCTCTCCCAACACATAAACATCCAGTCCAGATCCCAGGCACACACAGGAAAGAGGAAACTGCTAAGCTCCTAGGAGAGATTGTGAGAGAAAATCTCCATGACCTCCGGGCAGGACGTGATTTCTCAAACAGACCTCCAGAGAAATGCTGATAAATTTGACTGCATTAAAAAGAAGACCTTATGTTTATCACAAGACTCCAAATTAAAAAAGCCAAACACAGAAATCAAACTGGGAGGAGATATTTGCACCAATATTACTTACAAAACAGTGGTTACCAGGGCCGGGTTGTAGCTCAGTGGCAGAGTTATTGCCTAGCTTGTGAGAGGACCTGTCCTGGACACTCAACACTGCAATAAAAAACAAAGTAATACCCAGGGCACCGTAAAAATTCCTACTGGCCAATAAGAAAATGATAACTCAGTTTGAACACTATAAAAATCCTCAAATAATCACTAGACAACAAAGAAACCCTGACAAATGAATAAACACATAAAAGATGCTCAATTTCATTAATAACCAATAGAATGTTAATTACATGCAATAAAATACTATTACAAATCCACTAGCATGGGAAAAATTAACACTGAGAGTACCAAGTGCTACAGTGGTAGGGCTGAGGGGTGACAGAGGCCTTACCCAAAGCCAAAAATATCTACTGAATGGTCCCCTCCAAAAGTGTACTGCTCCACTTTGTGGTCTATGATAAAGACACTATTCTTTATCTTTATCCAGATGGTAGTTACATGTTCACCACTTTAAATTTATTTGAGCTATGTATATGTACTTTACTCCACAGTAGTCATATTTTTAAAAATTAGGATTTAAATATTAATTCTAGAAGATTTTAAAGTCCTTTTAAGAACATATAGCAGATCTGGCATGTAAAACTATTGGAAGCCACCACTCTGTTCCAACAACTTGTAAAAATCTGAACAAATGGAAAAATCAATAATAGTTTTTTAGATCCAAAAGGAAAGTCAGGTCACAGAGTAAGCCACTCCTGCCAAAACTGGAGAGAACAGACAGGTGAATTCAGAGAGTCACAACTTACTGGAGCAAAAGCCTGTGAGCAAAAACCTCCACAGGAGCCATGAAGACAGAAGGTGAAACGAGGCCAGCACTGCTCTAAAACCACAACACTCTCAGGAAACTACAGGCCAGTAATGAACATAGCTGTGAAAATCCTCAGCAAAATACCAGCAAACTAAATCCAACAGCATATAACAAGAATTACACACCCCGACCAAGTGGGGCTTAACCCAGTTACACAAGAATGGTTCACTATTTGAAACATTCATTAAAGCAAACCAACACATCACCTGAAAAAAGAAGAAAAACAACATGATAATATCAAAAGTGAAGAAAAAGCACTTAACAAAACCCAATGCCCATTTATGACAGCTCTTAGTAAACTAAGAGTAGAAGGAAACTCAGTAACTTGATAAAAATATAGCTACAAAGTCCTATAACTAACATCATAGCTAAGTTTGAGGTACCAGACGCTGTCCCACTAAGATCAGGAATGAGGGTAGGAGGTTGTCTCATCACCGTCTTTCCACACTGTATGGGAAACCTTAGCTAATGCAGTAAGACAACTAATGGAAGTTAAAAGTATACAGAATGGAAAGGAAGAAATAAAACTGTCTTTTTTTCACAAATGATATTATTGTCTATATAGAAAATACTAAAGAATTGAAAATGCAAACAAACAAAAACGCTCCAGGAACTAAAATGTAATAGTGCCAGAGTTGCGGGATATAAGATTAATATACAAAAAGTCTGTCACTTTCCTAAATACCGGTGATGAACAAGTGGAATTAGAGATTAAAATACAATATCATTTACATTAGAACTGGCCAAGATGACATGCTCAGGTATAAGTTTAACACAACATGCACAAGAGCTGCATAAAGGAAATCACAGAAGAGGATGGAATAAAATGAAGCAATGCTCCCCGCCGATAGACGGGAAGGCTCAACATCACCAAGACACTGGCTCTTCCCCACTTGATCTATGGATTACGTGACACAACTCCAGTTAACTTCCCAGAGAGGTATGTTGTGGGTACTGACTGATCGATTCTGAGGTCTATTTGGAGGGGCAAGAGGCCCAGGGTAGCCAACACAGCACTGAAGCAGAAAAGAAAGGCTGGAGGTCCAACATGGCTCAACTTCAAGGTGTGCCGGGAGGCTACAGCAGTCACAGCAGTACAGCCGGCGAAAGAACAGAACAATAAATAGGTCAGTAGAACAGAACAGGAAGCTGGGAGCCAGGTCCACATGAATCCAGGGACTCCTGACTTAGGAACTCAATTCATTCCCGAGATCTGGTTAACTCAAGTTGGTCAACTGAAGGCTCAGGCTCCTCTCCACAGCCTTCAAAGTCTCTCTGTTCTCTCTTCAGCAGCACATAAAATAATTTTTTTAAAAAATCCTCTCTAGACATTGGCCCAGGATTATTCAATGAACCCCACATAGGAAAGGATGTTGCACTGTTGCTTCTAGAACAGTTTAAGGATTAAATCTGAGACCCTCTGGAAGCACAAGTGGCCGGCATTCAGTCATAAGTCAGACTTTGGTCTGAAGTTAGAACTAAAATTCTGGTTATAACCCAAGTCATTCACATGCCAGGTCGGTTGTGACTGGAAGGTCCACATATAATCAACTGCTCAGTGACAAAGTGGCAAAGGCAATACCATGGAGAAAAAAGTCTTCAACCAACAGTGCCAGAGCAGGTAGACATCCGTATGCAAAAACCCAAAACAAAAAAAATCCAAAAACAAAAAGAAAATTAGACATAGATCTTACATACTTTATAAAAATTAACTCCAAGTGGATCTCAGACCCGAGTATAAAGTACACAATTACAAAATGCCTAAAACATAACATAGGATAAAATCTAGGTGACCTAAGTTATCCTCTAGGCATTTTACAAAGAATTTTAAAAACTCAGTAATAAAAAAAATTTTTAAATGGGTCAAGACCTTAACAGGCAAATAAGCATATGAAAAGATGCCCTGAATCATATGTGACCAGAGGAATACAAATTAAAACGAGACACCACCACGCATCTAGGAGAATGACTCAAACCCAGGACATGGCCGACGCCTAGTGCCGGCAAGGACGTGGGCAACAAGAACCCTGAACCAATGGCAGAGATGAGGCGCCCCAGGCCATCTCGTCACTCTCCAACAGCTTGCTTAGCCAGGTCTGCTTCTGGACAGAAGAGCCCATGGTCCAGTATCTGCATCGCAGCTTGGTGACTGTCCCCCCACTGGTCCGTGAGCCCCAGGAGGCCCGTGTCGAACGGACCCTGGTGATCCCCGGATCCCGGTGCACACCTGGCACACGTGCTAAGTGAGAGCGGGGAAGGACAAAGCTGGGGATGGGTGGAGCTCGTCCTCGGCGTCCCTGGGGTGCACAGGGAGCAGCAGCAGGTGAGGCTGTGGCTGGTCTGGTCTGTGTTAGAGGGTGGAGCCGTTGTGTTGTCAGAGCGCCCGTCCTCAGCCCGGCACTACAACCACAGCTCACGTGACTGCACATGAGGGCGCCTGCTTGGTAGATGTGCTTCCTACTGTTTTGGCAAGAGAGGAGGAAACGGCTCTTTAAAATGCATATTTATAATCGTGCCAAATTGCCTATGACGGCTTCTCATATTTTTCATTTTAAATTTGTAATTCTCATCCGGCCTGGACTATCACCAGGACTCTCTCTGTGTGATTCCTAGGGAATAACTCATCTTTCTGAACATCGGTTGACCTTGAACGTGAGGATGTAGTTTGGAAGAAGCCTTCTGAGAACACAAGGAGCCAAGGAATTGGGTGTACAAAGCTGTCTCCCCATCTGGGTGGCTGGATTTAAACAGCCTGATCTTCCTGGAGGTCTTGAAGCACTGTAGTACATTTTCTTTCCTTTTAAGGAAATCATCATTTTCTTACCTTGGACAAGTCTGCCCATCTGTTTTTTGCTTTGATAACAAGATACTGATGAGCCTGTTCACAGGCTAGTTCTGAATCTGCAACTTTCTGTTTGGGTCTTAAAAGAGAAAAAAAATTAATAAGTAACTGTGTTTAAATTTAATGGGCTTGTGAATCTCCCAAGGGGTTCTGCTACCCTGTTTGTTTCAAAGATACCATTAAAGTCTGTTATTTCACATCTGGTCTAACTTAGTTCTTAAAAGACAGTCTTATTTCCCCAGCTGTATGGTAGGGAAGTCTTCTTAAATTTTGTAAGTCCCTGTTAATTTTCAGATAAAATGTATTCAAAAAAATTTTTTTCAACAGCAACACAAACAAGGGCTCATTTATTCTCGGGGTGGGGTGGATATTACAATGTTAAGTGTTTTAGGAATAAAACAACTACAAACTTTTCTTTTTGAATTCACAGGCTGGAGAGAGAAAGCAGTCTAAACATCTGAGGATAACTGGAGAGCAAGGCTTACAGATTTTGGGTCTCAGCTAATTTTCAATGGTTAGGCTTGTAGGATGTAAAGAGAATCAACATTCTGCTGGGTTTACTCATGGTGTGACAGATTCTTAACAAAACACCTTGCTCTCTTGGCCCTGGGTAGAAGAATGGTGAGACCTGGCCAAAAGAACTGGGGTTCCCTGGGTCTTCTTGCTTGCTAACGTGAATCAGGTTGGGGATGCAACTCTGTACAGGGCGTGGCCATCCCACAGCAGGGAATGGCAGGTCCCTGCCTCAGCGGCTGGCTGGAGTGTGTTCCCTGTGCCTGGCTCCCACCCACCCTCTTCTGATATCCCAGGCCATTACCTGGATGTTTTGCTTCACCCACACATCTGTGTCACCAGCCCTGACCTCACCTGCCTCTCTGCGCCATGACTCCAACTGCCTACCGGACTCCACAGAACCACGGAACTTCCAGGATGGAGAGCTCTTGTCACCCTTGCCCCATCACCACCTCAGCACCAAAGGCTGTGAAAGGCTGTGGAAGGCTGATGGGATTCTGTCTCATCTCCAGCACTTTTACTAAAAAGGGTTTTAAGGGTCAGGATGTGTTGCCTGCCTTCACTTTTATTTATTTATTTTTTATTTCTTATTGAGTTTATTGGTACCATCTAGGTATACAGTACAGTTACATTCATTACTGGGATCCTGTACCTTCACATGACAGGTCTTGGTTCTCATTTTTTCCCCTTGTCCCTGCCCTCCCTTCACCGCCCCCTCCCCATTAATAAACCCTTTATTTCCATTTTTTCATTTTCTCATATTTTTTCTTTTCCCTTATTTCCTTGCCCCTACCCTTCCCCCCTTTCCCCATACCTTTAGCCCTTTTCTTCCTATTTCACGCCTGCCTTCACTTTTAGACTCTTTCTAAATCCTCCCTGAACCCAGAGGACCTGCTGGGGCCATCTCACAGCTATCACAGAGCCCCGAGGGGCGAGTGGCGCTGAATGGTCTCCATCTTCCCCAACCCAAGCAGAGCAGACGGACCTTCTACCCTCACAGGGGATGACTAAGGATGAACACCCTGACAGTAAGAGAATCAGGTGACTCCAGATCCCGAGGCTCTCCAAGAAAGATGAGGGAAGGGGCATTAGCAGGAGGCCAGGGAGCTGCTCTCTGAGATGTGTATGAGGAGGTGGCAGCAGCCGTGTGAGGAGCGTGAGGGAGGCTCAAGCCATGCACGAGGGCTGAGGTGCACTTCTGCTCCCGGGCGAGACGCAGAGGACCTCCTTGTCCTCCTGCTCCCTCTTATTACCACCAAAGCCCTGCACAGTATACCAAACGCACCTCTGGGAAGACACAAAAATCAAAATGATAGGAGGCCGGTAGACAGGATCAAAGCTCAAAGAACAACAGTCTCGGGATGTGTGGGCTTTTCCCTCCCATGTTCTCTTCCCAGCTTAGGGCTAAGGCCAGTTCTAACTCTGGCAGTGTGCAGAGAGGATCTGGACACACACACACATCACACACACACACGCACACGCGTACACACACAAGAACAGACTCCAAAAAGAAAGGCTATCGTAAAGAAGCCAAACAATAACAAATGCTGGTGAGAACACAGGGTAAAAGGAAACTTTCTGTGCTGTTGGGGGGATATAAACTGATAGTACCACTACGGAAATTAGTATGGAGATTCCTCAAAAAAATAAAACTGGAAATTCCACTCCACCCAGATATTCCCCGCCTAGGTATCTTCCTGAAAGAGGAAAAGCCATCAGTTATAGCGAAACATGCACGTCCATAACAGCTAAATCTTGGAAGCAGCCTATATGTCCGCCAACAGATGAACAGATAAAGCAATTGTGGCGTCTTACACACACTGGAGCACGACTCTGCCAGAAAAAGAGATGAACTCGAGTCATCTGTGGGAAAATGGATGCACTTTGAGACCATAAATCAGATGCACAAGCTTAACTATTTCATGATTTCTCGTATATGAAACCCCTAAAATATAAATAAGTTGAAGAGTGAAATAAAAGATAACAGGAAGATAGATCTTTGGTAAAAAGGAAAAGGGACCAAGAGGTGGAAGAGAAGATGGGAGGGTGGGAAGGGAAGGAGCTGTAAACAAGAAGGTACGCAGTGCCCATGTACCAGCGGCCCTCGGCAAATGTGATCACGGTGTACCGCAAACACGCACTAATAAAAATAAAAATTTCAAGATATTTCTGAGATAATGGAAATGTCTTAAAATTAGATTATAACCGTGATTGCACAACTCTTTACATTCACTAGAAATCACTTCAAATGTGCAACTTCTATAGTTATATAAATTATACTTCGACAAAATGACTGCAAGTTTTCATTACAGTACCAACAAATACCAATTTAAATGCTCCTTTTCCTTTGATAGGAAATGAAAATAGTTCTCCAGTGGGATGGGGGAGAGAGAATGGACTAAAAAAATCTGAGTTTCCAATTTAAGAAAATAAAAAGGGGAGATGAAAAGGCAGAAAGAAGGAAATCACAAAGATCAGAAATCAATCCAATGGAAAATAGAAAATCAATGAAACAAGAAACTAGTTCTCTAAAAAGATCAATCAACTTGATGAATCTTGGCTAAGCTAATCAGGAAAGAAGGGGAAAAGATGCCACCTCTGTTTTTGTTAAACGAAAGGACAACTGCTAAACACCCCACAGATATTCAAGGAACAATAAGGAATTAGCACGAACAATGTCACGCTCACTCACTTGAAAACTTCTGTGAAATGGGCATAAATTAATGAAATTAAAGACATAAATTAATGAAAATCTCTCAAGAAGAAATAGAAACCCTGAATGATTCTATAACGACCAAATTAACCAGTTCAGGTAAACACCGCCCATGAAGGACATGCCAAGATGTGATGATGCCCTTGGTGAATTCGATCAAATATTTAAGGAAGGAATAAGAAGCACTCTATATAATCCACCCAGCTTATTTTGTGAGGCCAGCCGCACCATGATACGGAAATCAGAATTGGTATTCCTGACTTTTCTTCTTTCTTGGTGGTCTTCTGAAGAATAGAACCGTTTCCCTTATTTTCTTCACATCAACAGCTCATTCTGTCTTGTGATGACCACTTGGGTCCTTCAAACCCCCTTCCATACCTATCGTATATTACAGGGTCTTAGCGACGTTAATTCTTATTCCTCTTACGTGTATTTCCTCACACAGAAAACATTTCATTCCTCGTCAAGTGTTCCCAGCTATGCAAAGAAAAAGAGGGTAAGAAGAAGAAGAAAACAAACAATGGTGGCCTTGCCAGCAGGAAGAGGGAACACAGAGGCGAGCCACCACGTGCTACTTGCTCAGGACCCTTCAGCGTACCCGTCACGGTGCCAAGGCGACACAGGTTCTTTCAAGAAAACTGCAACTCCACCTTTGTAGTGTTAAGAGCAGACTGCACTGCAAACCGTCACCAAGTGAAACTCCGCCTTCATGCCAGTGAGGCAGGAGGGGTTTTCGGGACTGTCAGATGGCTCGGAGGGCAAACACACAGGGAGACAGAACAGCGCCCGGACTGCAGTGAGGATGTGGCTCTGATCGCACCGGCCCCAGCTCCTGGCCAGAGAATGAGGCCTTTCTAAGGATGAAACTGGAAATCTGCTCTTGTCCTTCAGTCATTCCACAGGAAGGAACTGATTATGGGATGTTTTGAGCGAAGAAGCCGCATCATCTGATTTGGTGAGAAGGACCTGACAGTGTTCTTTCAACTTTTACAACACTTACGCGTCAAAATGTTCTTGGTGTGGGCTGTGAGAGGACACGTGTGGGTGGGTGGGGTCTGCTAAACAAGGCGACAGGAAGGGAACAGGGCTGTAGAAATGAAGCAAGTCATTGGACCTGTCATTCTGATTGGCATTTAGTATCTAAAACCAAAAACGCATTGCAATTACGAAGCAAACAAGACAGTGCCCTCTCTTCAACAAAGTCACAAAGCCTGAACGACTCAAAGCATTGCATTTGGATGGTGCAGGTGGCAGATGGAGGCCCAGAAGGCAGGAAATTGCCTAGGAAGGGAAGCCAGTGGGCTGGCAGGGTGGGGCTGGGTGGGGCTGGGCAGGGTAGGAGTGCAGGCCCTCCGGGCAGAGGAGGCGACTCCTCCTGCCAGGCACCTGGGCTCCCTTCTCTGTCACATCCTCTCCATGGAGTCCTTAGGAACCTGGGGCCACCGTCTGTAGGTCTGGTGGAGCAAGGGACCCGGTGGGCATGGAGCTCACCCTCCTCTCTGGGAATGCTGAACGAAGGAGCCGCTAGCGCCCAGCATGGTTCCCTCATCCCATGGCAGGGAGTTCAAAGCCAGCCCTCCTGCCCTGGGCCTCTGTCCCAGGGAGCCTCTGACCCCACCCACATTGCACCCCATCCTGGGACAGCTTCCAGCCCGCTGTAGACCCTGCATGAGCATCTGCTGGATGAAACAGAGCAGTAACGCTGCTGAGTCCCTGTAAGGGGAAGGGGCTGTGCTTTGTGGGTGAAAACTCTGTGTTCATTCTCCAGAAAATTCTTTGGGAGGATTTTTTGTTGTTGTTGTTCTATTTTAATGTTCAGTGATCAAATCCCATCTGAAAGCTCACCAGAA